GGCACACCTGTGGCGGGTGTTCTGCGGGTCAACATCATGTTCCGCCGTGTCCTCTTCGTCGCGACGGGAAGCGGGATTGGACCTATCGCGCCTTGTCTCTTCGAGAAGCGTCAACCTTCTCGTCTGCTGTGGACTGGCGCGAACATTGTGAAAACATTTGGAACTGATCTTGTCGATGCCGTGAAGGAAGCTGACCCCGACGCGTGCATCTACGGTGAGCATGATGATTTTCATGTTCGACTGTCTTCTGATATATGTCTCTCCAGATACGCGCGTCCATGGTCGTCCTGACATGGTCAAACTTACCTATAAGATGGTCAAGGACTTTGACGCTGAAGCTGTTGTCATCATCTCCAACGAGCCCTTGACGAAGAAGGTCGTCTACGGCATGATGAGCCGTGGCATTCCCGCCTTTGGCGCGATTTGGGATTCATAACGTATGGACGTCTTCTCTTGCTCTGACATTGATTCCTGCATGCTCTGACGCTGTCAAACAATCTAATACTTATTAGCTATTTATTGAATAGTACATATAAATTGAATAATACTACTACTACAAATTTTTCAAGAGCGGTTCTTCGATAAAGACGGCTACAGTTTCGCATTCTCTTGCTGGCGTAGATTCTCTTCCTGCTGACTCAAGGGCTCGCCCCAAGGCTTCTTATGCTCATGCCTCGCCGGCTCCATCGCCGGACTCGTGGCTCGTTTAGCCAAGTACGTATCCTTGATCCTTTCAGCTAGAGCCCAGATCCAGCAACGCGCGCGCATGCTGTTCGTGCAATGCATGTGATACACATACTTCGGCGGAGTGTGGCGTATTTTCCCGATCGGGGATCTTCGCAACCATACCTTACTGGTTTGGAGAAATCCTTGTGTCTGAGTCCTTTCCATAGGAGCTTGTTCGCTGGGGTTCTTTTGCTCAGATCGTGCGCAGCGAAACGCGCTCTATCCAGGTTTGCATTGGTCATTTGTTTCCTATATAGTTTTGATCCTTAGTTTTTAGCAAGTCTCATCCTCGCGATCGTTATCGCTTTGTACGCCTCTGATTGCGTTATCGTCGTTACTAGTTTTGCACCGCTGATGAACGCCTCGATACTGTGGCGAGTGAGTCGCTGATTATTGTCTCATCCGCGATGATTGTCGCTCGGTAGGCGCCTGTGATTCTTATTCAGCTCTTATTGCAAGGCTTTCCACCTGGTTGTCATGACCGGACGTGCCGAAAATTTTATGACCAAGTATATATATTCAAGACTATCTACATGTACATACATAGGATTGCGCTCGGCGTGCTGCACTTGTCGTTGCGCAGTCATCATCAGCATGCAGTCGTTGTTGTCGTTGTGTTACGGAGAGATCGTAGTATCTGCAGAAGCGAGTTACGGTTCATGGCCAGAGAAGATGAGGAGGGAAAGAGCCACATGAAATGGGTGGTGCCACCAGCGGAGTTACCGCGGAGGTGCAGAACTGCCTAAAATAACGAGAGGTAAGTAGGGTGTTCACGAGAAAGACTTGAATGCACCCCATCTAGGATGACAATCGTTGTCGAAGAGTAGAACTACGGCGTCGAAAACCCCGCCAACAACGTTAAAGGAGGGAGCGCATGTCCATGGAAAACCCGGAAAGCGAAGCCCTGCGATGAGCGTCAATGAGCTCGTCGTCGACACTCAAAGATAGACGTATCGAAATGCTGGTGAGAGACGGCGGCGAAGGTGGGAAGGCTGGCGCAGACGAGTCGATGATGTGAGATGGTGGCGGGAGCAAGAGACTAACCGGTGGCCATCAACAAACTAAACAGGATGAGCACTCTGCAGCCCTCGATAAACGTGTTGGTTGTCTACGTGCCGTCGGCGTCATTTATGTGCGGTCGTCCTCGTCGCGTCAAGCCTAAAGTCGTCATCGTGTATGCAGTCGTCGTCGTGTGTGTGGTCGTCGTTCTGTACGCGGTCGGCATCCTGTATGCGGTCATGGGGGAAAGAAGCAGCGGGAGCGCGGATCCAACCAACACGTGCAATCCCGCACGGACCATGTGCGCCGTTAACCGGTCGCCGAGCCACAACTTTCACTGGTGTTGACCTCGCACACCAAGCTTCTATCGTTCTATAAGCATGGTCTACAAGAGGACTGACTAGTACAGTTGGAGCAGCAAGACCAAGACCAAAAAAGATGCTTTTGAGAAAGACCAAGGAAAGCTGTGGGTCTTGGTCTTACTAATAGAAAGTTGGTCTCGGTCTTTTGGTTGGCAAGACCAAGACTCGAAAACATATATATCCGCCAAAAGACCAAACCTAGATCTGTTTTCCTGACTGGCATGTTCGATACTACACTCTTTATTCTTCAGGTTCTTCATACCCACTTCTTCCCAACTCCAGCTTCAAGATGAGCACACCCGCCTGCTGGAAACCTCCTGTTTTCTACCATCCTTCCAATTCGGAGGAGACTCTCACCGTCCTTACTCTTGACTACCGACCTTACAATCCGGAGTCTCCATCATGGTCTAAGACGTCGGTCGACACCATCGTCGGGACGCCACCGGTCAAATCGGAGACCAGCATCGTTCTCGAAAAGTTGCCTTGGGATGGCTATCTCGAAGAGGACATCCCGGACAAGACGCAGGGAAAGGTCATGCGAGACCTCCGCCACCTCGTCTTTACGATTTATGACAGACTCTTCGGGGTCGTTTTAATAACCAACATGGCGATTTTGATCGCTCTGTTGGTGTATGGCGTCAATTCCCAGAGACTGGGATTGATCGCGGTGGCCAACATCTTTGTCGCCATTATGATGCGACAGGATTACGTCGTCAATGCTTTCTTCTTCGTCTTCACCTCTGTTCCCCCTTCGTGAGTCCTTGACGTTGTTGCATGCCCTATCTGTCTGACCCATGTGTTTCCAGATGGCCACTCTGGTTCCGTTTGTTGATGGCAAGAGTTTATCATCTTGGCGGCATCCATTCAGGTGCAGCGGTTTCTGCAACGCTGTGGCTCGGTGTTCTGGCTGGACAAGGAACTAGGGAGCTAGCACGAGGTGGCGAGGTACGTTCAACAGCAACTATCATTTACTCTCATAGGTCCTCATACCACCTTATTACAGATATCCGTCGCCACAGTCGAAATCACTTGGATCATCCTCATGTTCCTAGTGGGAATCATCGTCTTCGCTGTCCCCGCCCTCCGTTCGAAAAGCCACGATACGTTTGAACGCGTTCACAGGTTCATGGGCTGGACCGCCACCGCCCTCGTATGGGCTCAGGTTATATCACTCACCAACGACTGGAAGGGCAACGCGTCTTTGGGATACGCGCTTGTCCACTCTGCCCCCATGTGGCTTATGTTCATCATCACAGGTCAGGACGCTTCATGGTCTCATCTACGTACCAACTAACGCGCCCCAGGTTCGCTCATTCTGCCGTGGGCTCGTCTGCGGAAAGTCCCTGTTCGCGCGGTGGTTTTGTCTGACCACGCTGTTCGCCTGTTCGTCAATTACAAAGGTAAGTTGCTACATCCTGCTATCCTGCAGGACTGTACTCACGGGCTCTAGTGTTCGGATTCCACCCACGTCCGGTGCCTGGATCGTTCAGTCGCGTCTCGCTGGACCCTCTCAACGAATGGCACGCATTCGCTAACGTGCCGGTCCCAGGGACTGACGAGTTCTCCCTCGTCGTTTCGCAGGCTGGCGACTGGACCAAAGAGCTCATTCGCAACCCGCCGAAAGAGATTTACTTCAGAGGCACACCTGTGGCGGGTGTTCTGCGGGTCAACATCCTGTTCCGCCGTGTCCTCTTCGTAGCGACGGGAAGCGGGATTGGACCTATCGCGCCTTGTCTCCTCGAAAAGCGCCAACCTGCTCGTCTGTTGTGGACTGGCGCGAACATTTTGAAGACATTCGGCGCTGATCTTGTCGATGCGGTGAAGGAAGCTGACCCCGACGCGTGCATTTACGGTGAGCATGATGATTCCCATGCCATTCGACTCTCTTCTGATATATGTGTCTCTCCAGATACGCGCGTGCATGGTCGTCCTGACATGGTCAAGCTTACCTATAAGATGGTCAAGGACTTTGACGCTGAAGCTGTTGTCATCATCTCCAACGAGCCCTTGACGAAGAAGGTCGTCTACGGCATGATGAGCCGTGGCATTCCCGCCTTTGGCGCGATTTGGGATTCATAACGTATGGACGTCTTCTCTTGCTCTGACATTGATTCCTGCAGCTGTCAAACACTTAATTAAACCAATCTAATATTTATTAGTTATTTATTGAATAGTACATATAAATTGAATAATACTACTACTACGAATTTTTCAAGAGCGGTTCTTCAATAAAGACGGCTACAGTTTCGCATTCTCTTGCTGGGGTAGTTTCTCTTCCTGCTAGCTCAAAGGCTCGCCCCAAGGCTTCTTATGCTCATGCCTCGCCGGCTCCATCGCCGGACTCGTGGGCCAAGTACGCTCTACCGTTATGTGTTCGTAGTAGTGTTTATATAGAAATTTTCACCTTGAATGTTGTTTGTCCAATGTCATATCACACTGCTCCTTGCTGCAAACTCCCGAAATCAACTAGGGTTGCGCAGGATACCCCCAATATCGCGCCGTTGGATATTTAACCGGTTATTAACTGTTAATAACCGGGTTAATAACACCCCCAGGAGGATCAGGTGGGGTTATTAACCTACCAGTCATGTGATCAGCAATGGTGTAGTCGTCGGATCATCGGGACACTAGAACACCTCATATTGTAGCATGAGCAAGGTACCTTTGAGTAGAGACTGCACTGGAGGCTTGAATTAGACTTGAATCTATTTATTTTGAGGGATGAGAAGCCAAAAATGGAAGGGTGAGGGGAAAATGCGCCACATACAATCACGTGGGCGGTTATTAACGGTTAATAACACCCCCTAAAATGGGGTATATCCCGCCGGTGTTAGTAACCGGGCGGGGGAATATACTGCGCAACCCTAAAATCAACATGAAGCAAAAAAGCCAGCCCACCTACGGGTGAATAAATACAACCGGCCTGACTTGAACAGGCATCTCAAATGGATTGGTTAAGTAATTTGATGCTCTACGAGCTGAGCTACGGTTGTGCATGAATTGTAATGTAAATCAGGATGAAGTGTCTAGTTGAATGAGCAGTTTCGGGTGGTTGAAATCACTGATCTTCCTGTAATAATTCCCGTTCCTCGCTATGGAAAGGACTGGGGTGGGAACGATTTCAAGCTGACAGCTGTAGCGTGGACCGTGTTACTGCTTACCGTGACCGAGCATCGACATCGCCTCCCACCTCATCCATCTGCACACGGACAGGATATACTCCTACTCAAAGCCTATATATTGATTAACAACATGGAAAGCGTGTACGACTAGTACATTACGAGGTATACATATATCCAAAACACAACAAAGGAAAAGAAGAAGAAAATCACGTCGTATCATGTCTCTTGAGTGCTGACGGCCGTCCAGTTATACGCCGCGAATGCGCCACCTTCTCTGCGAGCGCCTCGATAAGCTCATCACTGTTCTCCTCCTCCAGCGTCTTCCGAATAAGATACTCCATATTCAGGCTGTCCCCATCCGCACTCCCGCGCCTTGACGAAAGTCGCATGCTCGGCGGAGGGAATACTGCTCCGGGAGACGGAGGTCCAGGATCATGGAACGTTGGCAAACGCTCGTTCATCATATCCGACTTACGACTAAGAGACGATTAGGCCAAAAAAAAGTAAGACAAGAGACACATACGCATCATCAAAGCTCCGTATACTGCGGTTGATCTGCTGTACACCGAGCGCATCACCACCAAAGCGTCTCGTGAGGTTTCCTTCCTCCGAAAGTGTGAGCTCCGATGCAGACTCGGCCTCCTCACGTAGAATCTGAAACACGCGCTGCATCCTGCCAACAGCAAGAATCTTGTTCTTGATCTGCTGCCGCCGCTGCTCGACATCGACACCCTTCGAGTCAGCCATAACCTCATCGCTATCCGAGTCCGATTCGGTGAGCTCTTCTGAACTGCACACGCTTAATACTGCCAGAAGCATATCCGCAATCTTGGCTCCTACGAACGGCAAACTCCATGTGAATGCGTCCATGAAATTGGGCAGCCAGTATGGATGTGAGCTGGAGTTGTACTGACGGATGGTGATGTTCTTGTTGGCGTATTTGATGACGGCACCACGGTTGTGATAAACGTCGAGGTAGTTTGGAGCAGAGAAGATGGTGATGACGGAAGGGAATTTCTTGGACGGCGTTTTTCGATGCATGGTGTATCCAGCATCTTGAGCCTCGTGTCCGCGGATGATACCAAGGAGATTCGTTCGGTCGAGGAACTGACAGGCAGCTTCATATCTAGAAAGAATTAGCAGGGTTGGCAAAGTTAGAAGGTTAGGACTAACGTGAAGAAGAAGGAGCAGCCTCTTGTTTGGTTATTGAGAAACGTTGTCCCCGGAGCTAGTTGCAGACCCTGTGAAGATGGCTCCTGCTCATGTCCAAAGTTGGCGACGGGATCCGACCATAGCAGGTCACAGAGTAGGCCCTTTCCGCCTGGTTCCTCGAAGCGGTTCATCTTGTTGATATCGTCGAGCGACATGAGTTCCGGTGATATACCTCCGTGGACGCAGAAGAAGCGATTGTCGACGACTGCAGCAACGGGCAGAGCCTGGAATGATGTTATACATGCCTCGTAGACATTGAGGGAGTATTTATGTAGACCTAGGGTATGTTTAAAAGGCTATCAGAATAACCTGAAGGTAACCGAACGTACATTCTCGTTTGAACGTAAAGTATTCAGTTAGATGGCGACACTCGTGGTTACCACGTAATAGCACAAATTTTGTAGGATAGCACAGTTTGAGAGCATAGAGATACAACAGACACTGAGAGCGGTCAGAGGAGCTGTGGGACAAGTGTGGCGCATACCTCGATACCGAAGCAACCCCGATCCACATAATCCCCGAGAAATAGATAGCAATTGTCGTTTAGATTCCCGCCTACATCGAATAGCTTCATAAGATCGTACTGGCCGACGCGTCAGTAACGACACCGCCGGGGGTATCAAGGTCAACATACATATTGACCGTGGATATCGCCGCATACTGTGGAGTATTAGATACGATTGATGGACCGACGACGACGAGGGACGCACTTGTTACAGGACTTTGAACGGTGACGAGGTTGGGCTCGCGGCTGAGCATCTGGGTCGCCTGTTCCAATATGAACATTGCCTGGATCTCTGTGACCCGTCCCTCATGGAAGAAGTGGTCGCGGAGGATGTGTGGATTGGCGCGGATGGTGCCGTCCTCGCCCTTGACGTAGAACTTGTTGTCCGCCGGCGTCGTCGTGCACGGCGGAGGGACCTGGTGGCAAAGTCGGTCAATTAGACGCCCAAAATGCGCGAGACAAACACGCACGCTGGGGACCTGTCGCTCTCTCAGGCGCACAGGCATCGACGTCGAGCCCGACGGCGCCTCCATCACGGGCGACAGCGTCGAGGACGGGTTCATTATCGATATGTACAGCGCGCGCAGGAAAAATATAATACACGGTTTAACAGGAGTTGCTATAAAGCATGTGCACTAGCTGTTTGTCCCTGTTAGGGTAGTCAAAGCTCCCGCCGTCACCATCGATGACGACGTGCCTCGAAAGGGCGGTGCTCATCGCGGTCCACAGCGCTGAAGAAGGCGATTATGGAAGGGCGTACGACAACGGCAATTTCCCCGAATTCCTTTACCTTGCCGAGGCTGTGCTGGCGCGTGCACCAGAACCTCCACGATGCACTTTTCTGCCTCGAAGTAGTAACATGGCGTACAGGTTGGAATGAAGGCTGTTCTTTACTCTTGTCGAAAGGAATGATGAATGGATCGCCTTCCTAGTCCAAGTAAAGGGATACCTGAGAAATACTCACGGAATCTCAGAATCGCCGTCCCGCGCCAGTACACATGATTCAAAGCAAGGGACTTTTCAACAGTGCTTTTGACGCGACGACCCAGCTGTACTTTCGCTGAACGCGTACAAGGGCAACCGCACTGAATCCCCGCCTTGCACTGTTTACTTCAGGTATGATGGTATATTGCCATGCTTCAACATTATTATTAATTACAACCATCAGGCATAAATGCGCTGCTTGTTTACAGACGTTCCGGAAATTCTTGCTCGCGCAGCCAAACACGCCAAACAAATCAAACAAATCGGAAAATTCAATAAAATAGAACAAATTCGTAGGGGGACAAATCCACTACTCTGAAACCAGTAAGGATGTATACCAAGGTGCCATACATGTATATGGACCAGTAGGAAGCAGTGTGGAGGGCAGAACAAGGCGCAAGGCCGGTGAAAAGAGTCGGCGGCAAGGACAAGCAAAATCAGTCTGGACTGATTACACGCTTGTACATCGGCCTTCCGATGCCTCAAGGTCACTAGGATATGTCATGGGAGAGCCTGCGATTAAGTACGCGTCGCGTATGAGCAATGATCCCACTCATGGTTAACCGTCGTGCACGGGCAGGCATCGCGCGGCCAAGGGGACACAGTTGCGGGGCCCCGGACACACTGTGTCCATTTTATTGTGTAGATATGTCAATGGTTGATCGATGGCGGCAGAGCGAGAATCATGGTTGAAGTCGCGGGGGAGGTGGGGATGGAGCTGGGATGGAGCGGAGGCCTCTGGTGCATGGTTTCACAGATCCTTAGGGAAGGACTGAGGAAGGCAGTCGACACAAACTAGTTGATTATAAGTAGCATTTTGAGGGGGTCAGACCAATGCCGGGCGACGTCCTGGAAGATCATGATGAGACGGGGATACTTGCTACGCACCTAAAACGTTCCAAAACCACTGCCCTCCTATCCAGCGACCTCCAGGAGATTTCATGAATGCTTCTAGTGCATCTAATTCCGCCTGCCCGTCATTGGGCGCCCGTATATCAATCCTTGATGCCCAAAAGCGAGTCCAAACGTTGGAGGTCAAATCAGCTGCTGGGAGTCAAATTCAAGTGAAAAATGCATTCGTGCTCAACGCCGAGGTCGTATAGCGCGTATGGCAGCACGTCTGAAGCCGGTCTGAGCGGTAGAAGGGATTCCTTCTATTTTGTTGAATTTTCCGATTTGTTTGATTTGTTTGGCGTGTTTGGCTGCGCGAGCAAGAATTTCCGGAACCTCTGTAGCTTTCCACTGTGGCTAGCGATTCGCATCATGCGATTCCATGATGTCAAATTTTTCGCCCACACAGCAGCAGACTCCCATCATTCTTCAAGCTGTGGCGAGGATACTAATAATAACATCTACCGCACCCACAGGGTGCGTACTAATGCACGTCGCCTGCCTCGACGCGCCATCTTCGAAATGGTTGGGCTGTTCGCCACGCCGCCGTTCAAGCCCAAGCCCAAGTGGTGAATCGATGAAATTGTTACAGGCTGTTCCATTCCTCTATACTATCGTTTCCATGACTATAGGATAGTAGCTGTCTTTCTTCTCCTTGTAACAGTGAACGCGGTTCCTGCCGTGCAGTGTCGCGTACGGATGTTAGCCGTTCAACTGGCAACTTCACCAAATATCAACGACCTAGACCCTGGCGGGGGTTATAGCATCCTGATGCTTGTCACCAGCGCTTTCTGACAGACACCACCATGGGCTCTGATACTTTCTGTTCAGTACGTAATTTTCTTCTCCTCTTTCCTTGGACTAAAGCCTCAACAGCTTACTGGTGGCTGTTATTACACCAATGGCAACATCGTCTCATGCTGGATCAGCGATGCTCGTAACTCCGTACCGGAGAATGATCCACTCAGAGTGTCCGACAGTATCCTTGAGAGGCTGGAATATTCTCCCCGCGATGTTCAAGGCTCCCAAGATCTCGTCTTGCTCGTTCCTAAAAACGAGGATGGCGAACTGGACATTGAGGATTACGAAGGGCCAAGTACATGATTTATTCTTCTTGCCACGTCATCCAACTAACTTTTATCGACAGCGCCCACAATGTTTTCCGACTCCACAGTGGAAGCAGTTGTCAACTTCACTATAGCTGACGATCCCGACCTCAGCGGGTTCAAAATTGTCTTCCCCGACGATCCAGACGCCGAGGACTTGGACGTCTCGATGT